AAGTCCAAAGGCTCTCACCAGGCAGTTGGCCCTGACCAAGCAGAGGTGAGGGCACAGGGCTGGGAGAATGGAGCCAGAACAAGGCACCAAGATGCAAGGAGATGCAATGGCAGGGACACTGGAGTAAAAGTGCAGAGAGGGAGGAATACTGGAACATAGGGAATCTGGAGCTCAGAGCAGAGCCAAAAGACCTCTGTTGCTGAGGCCAGTTCTGGGAGGGAGAACCACTCCTTAAAGAGCCCTTCCCTCCAGGTTTCTGGTTGAGCCTCATGAGTAGCCCAGCAGCTGCTCCACAGGACAGGGCCTGAGCCTGCAAAGATCAGGCCATTCCTGGGTCAGGCTGGCCCTGATCCTGGAGCTGCCAGGGCTGTATGTGCCAGATCCTGACACCTAGTGGGATTTGTGAATTTGGCAAAAGGTTGCATTTCTGAATGTCAGCGACCCGGGAATTTCTCCAACCCCATAATACTGCTCTGTACAGCACGGGAGCTCTTTGCTGTGGAAAAGTTTGAAGGCAGGATTGATCAGAAAGCCAATTTTAATATGAAATAGATTGGCAAGGTTGCTTATTTTTGAACCATCGTTCTTAGAAGGTTTCTTAGAGAAATAGTAAATTAATTAATCAACAATTTGTTGCCCATCCATGACACTCTAAACCAGTGGTTCTTAACCTTGGTTACTCAGGTGTTTTTGAACTGCAACTCCCAGAAATCCCAGCCAGCAGAGCTGATGGTGAAGGCTTCTGGGAGTTGCAGTCCAAAAACACCTGAGTAACAAAGGTTAAGAACCACTGCTCTAAACGAACCATCTCTGGCAGCTACCTCAGTGGGGAATCAGATCTCAGCTGCGGCCAAGCCTGTCTTTTACCAGCTGAAGCAGATTGGACACCTCCACCCTTATCTCAACAGGAAATCCCTCACACAGTGTTTGCCCACTGCTTTATTTACTGTCTATGGTGTTTCCTTCACATCTTTTATTTGTTTATTGCTATGGATGTCTTTTAAATATAGTTGACTGATTCTCTGACCTCCAAATGGGTATGTGTGTGTGTTAGTTTTTGTCTTAGTTTGTATTGGAAGATTTCAAGATAAGGGATTCTTGGCCAGGTCACTTCAGGGTAATGTTTGAGGAAGTGGGTTGTAATCCATGCAAGTTCACATTGAAATACGGTAAACCTTAGTCTTTAAAGCAAAGCGTGCTGCTTATATACCACCCCATAGCGCTTCAAGCACTCTCTGGGCGGTTTACAATTTAATTATGCAGGCTACACATTGCCCCCCCCCCCGAGTGAGCTGGGTACTCATTTTACCGACCTCAGAAGGATAGAAGGCTGAGTCAACCTTGAGCCGGATACCTGGGATTTGAACCCCAGGTCGTGAGCACAGTTTTAGCTGCAGTACAGCGGTTTAACCACTGCGCCACGAGTGTCACAATACTTTTGTGTTCATTATTCTTCCATTTCAAAGGTTTTCCAGTTGTATCTCACCCAGTTATGCATATTCTCTGTTTGCTTCAGTCAGAGTTAAATCTTCCAGGATCCCTAGCCCATAGGCTGGGATTCCACTGTAGGCAAATAAACTATTAGCAGTATTGGAGTGGCTTCCCGCACAACAGCAAATTCATGAAAACCATAAGCAAAAATGTTGGTTCTAATTCAGCAGAAGGGCCCAGTTTCCGTCTTCTCCCCCTCTCCTGCTTGCAGCATGCACAGCAGTTCAAAAAAAATCATCCACTGCTGATAGCATTATGATTCAAATAAATTATTCAAACTGTAAATTGTAACAGCAAGATTTCCCCCGCCTCTCCCCCCACCCCCCCCCCCCCCTCCGTTCAT